ATTTCCTGAGAAAACCCAGAAAATAGCGCTCGCAGTGGAACAATTAGCATATAGCCACTGCTGAAAAAAATAACACAAAAAGGCAGTGGAAGTGTTGCGAAACGATGTGTTAACTAAAAGTTACCACTCCATAAAAGCGAGCACTGACTTAGATTGAATACGTGAACAGGTGATGTTAAGCAAAATTCGGACAAAATCAACATCTTCCGATGCAATCTTGTCGCAAAATACCACGTAGTTGTCACAGATGTTCGAAGTGTTGCCGGAAGTGACAACCTAAAAGGCAGAATAAGCAATACGAGCATAAATGACGATACAGAGCATCCGAAAAGGGATGATGGATACACGGCAAATTCAATTCACTGTTAGGATAAAGACCAGTGTTAATGACCAAGTTAATAACGCTAAGCACTTTTATGAAACTCTCATTTTGAGAAATAGAAGAATCCAGAGCGTGCACAGTGAAAACGTCCCACTCAGAACTGGCAAAGGCTGAGAATTTCAAGCCATTTTTCATACGAGGGGTCATACTCGCTTACCGCAAAGATATCAAAATTAGTTTGTTGACGTGAAATAAATTATGCAAAAGGAACTTTTTGGCAGTCGAGAAAGAAGATGCTTAGAAGGTTGGGTTATAAATGTACTGGAAGCAAAATGAAAGTCAAATGAACAAGACGATAATATACCATGGAATGTTGCGATATGAGAAGCTGATATATTACAGCGCACATATTTGTATCCCGAAACTTGTAAAACGCGCAGTTTTCAACATCCAGCAAAAGCATACGGGCAAACCCAAGTGTTCGAAGGGATCGGTCCTTCATTTGGCAAATAAGTGATTTAAAATGCCGGCACGCAATGAATATTTGTGACGCACGTCTGCAACAATTCCAGCGCTAATACAAGCGCAAAATTCCAATGGAATTCGAAATGGGCAGATGCTTTCGCTGAAGAAAATCCATACCGGCGAAGTGGCGAATCGTCAAGTTCAGCAGCCATATCCGCTGACGCGTTTTCAAAACTGCTCCGGCACTCCTCCATCAAATTCTCTTTTTCAGGAAGATAATCGTTGACCATTTTACACATCAAGTCAGCCGCAATCACGCTAAAAAACGCCACAGCTGGTTAGCAGTCCCCATCGCTCAAGTTTTCCATCAAACAAACATCCATATACATATGTACATGTATATATACATATAACTGCATATATATCTAGCCATATGTATAGCTGGGATGCTCCCACACGTTGAGCACAGCTGTGCCAGGTACCTCGATACTGGGCTGCATACTTTTAGTCAGTACCCCCTCCCCTCCTCCTCCCGGCCTGTCCCATGTATGGGCGTCATGTCTTCGGAAGATGTCCGTGTGATCGCCTGCCTGTTCGCAAGTACCACTCGTTAAAAAGCAACGACCACCGCTTGTTGGCAAGGCGAGCAACATGCCCTATCCGACGGATTTCAGTTTCTTGAGTGGTCAAAGCAATATTTTGCACACCGCTCATTTGATAGAGAGTCTAACTGTTTATATGATTGCGGAGAGACACTCCAAGCATCCTTCGCTTCACCGCTCTCTCCGCCACAACCAGTGCATGCTTTCAGCTTTCGTGAGTGACCACATTTTACATTCAAGAGTCAATGCCTTCAAAACGCCAATACTATTCACTGCTGGTAGTGATCACCATCATGAAGAAGCGCACGAGAATTATTGGTAGCTGAACTGAAGAGCTACAAAACGGCGAAGCCGGTAAAATGCATGCAGAGGTTGCCTTCGTAAACATAAGGAAGTCATGGAAATGGAGGCAAGCGCCCTTACCAACAAGTGGCACGACTTCTATCAACATATTAAAGCACCAACTTGAGTGCTTCTATTAAAGCACTCAAATTGCTAGCTGCGTCTACGTTTACGGCGTGAGGGTGCGCT